CAGACACTCCCCATTACAGACACCCCCAATTACAGACAGGGCACCATTACAGACGTCAACAACCGCGCACAAAAGGCTTCAGATTCTATACAGTATTCTAATGCATTCATAATTATTTGAAAAAATAGTATGTTTTTGTTTACAAATAATGCAGTAGAATAACAAATTGAAAGGATATACGTGAGTTCCACATTTCAGCTCCAAAGGAGCTGCGCTGACAAGCTTTTTTTATATAAATAAATGCAGCATGACAGAATAATCAAGAAAGTGAAATAAATGTGGATTTTTCTCGTGGTGTACAAAGAAAAATTGAAATTTAGATAATCATAAATCCCTATCGAGCTTACTAAGTTCAAGGTAACTATGCACTGGAACACTCCATAGCGAGATTTCTTTTCGGATATCCTGTTTCAAGTTTTTTCCCGGAATCTTGGTTGGCTATTCTGTTAACCCAAGTGAGCAAAACATGACTGACGATAGCCGACATGATTAGTCTGAAAAGTTCGAAATACCCGTCATTGCTAGTTATCATGAAAAGAGATATCCTTCAATCAAGTCTTGACTAGTCCAGAACGTCCCTGAATCTGGTCATGCCTAGTCCGTTTGTCCACCTAGGCAATCCTGACTAAGGTTGGTGTGGGTGGGATTGCTGGTCGAATGTACACACTCACACTCAAATCGTATCCATTCAATCAATTTATCAAATTTATTTAGCTTTTATTCATTTTTTTCACAATTTCATAGTCTATCACAATTTTCTCGGCTTGAAATATTTGTTCTCAAAAATATTAAATCAAATCACATTACATATCTTCTTCCACATTTATCTTCATTTTCATATCTTTCATCATTAATTATCATGCCTATTGATTACTTTCATAATATAAACGCACTTTATCATAGTCTTTCGTTTACTTTCATTAAACTATTTGAGATTATCATTAAATGAACACTACTCAAATAATTCGTTGCTTATCACTAAGAATTCCTACAATTCTATTGAACATGTCGTTGTCGATAGTAATTGTAGTATTGATCATCTCAAAGTATGTTTATCGTGTAAGAAACTATTTTAATCCTACTATGTAGAAACATATATGGGACATCTTACAGAATCTAATTTAACACATCTTTTATTCCAAAGTAAAAGCATTAGTTTTGGTCGAATTGAATTATTTATTAGAAATCTTTCTCATCAACTTCAAGTGTTTCATTTTTCAACTGAATGTAATATTACATATATAAATGCACATCGATGGCAATAATTAATTCTATCTTATATTCCATATTTACGCACATTTGATATTGAACCTCAAGCTAAATATAAGAATAATCAAAATAAATTTCATATTTCAATAA